CAGCATAGACCCAGCTCAGAAAACGCAAGAGGAAAAGCCCAACCACGTTCACCAGCTACGCAGGGCTGATGGTGAAGCACATGTCCCATGCCTACACGGGGAATTAAAGGGTTCTTTCTGAGATGCCCGAACTTAAATGAGGATTTCAACGTATATGGACTTGTTCTTCCAATGTCTGATTCCTGACTCTCCCTCTCCTCCTATCCCATGATGAAAATTGTTCTATTTTTTTTTCTTTTTTTTGAGATGGAGTCTTGCTCTGTCGCCAGGCTGGAATGCAGTGGTGCGATATCAGCTCACTGCAACCTCCGCCTCCCAGGTTCAAGAGATTCCCCTGCCTCGGCCTTCTCAGTAGCTGGGACTACAGATGTGTGAAACCATACAGGACTAATGTTTTGTATTTTAGTAGAGACGGGGTTTCACCATGTTGGCCAGGATGGTCTCAATCTCCTGACCTCATGATCCGGCCGCCTTGGCCTCCCAAAGTGCTGAGATTACAGGTGTGATCCACTTCTTGGCCAATTGTTCTAGTTTTTTTTTTTTTTTTTTTTTTTTTGAGACGGAGTTTCGCTCTTGTTACCCAGGCTGGAGTGCAATGGCGCGTTCTCGGCTCACTGCAACCTCCGCCTCCTGGGCTCAGGCAATTCTCCTGTCTCAGCCTCCTAAGTAGCTGGGATTACAGGCATGCACCACCACGCCCAGCTAGTTTTTTGTATTTTTAGTAGAGACGGGGTTTCACCATGTTGACCAGGATGGTCTCGATCTTTCGACCTCGTGATCCACCCGCCTCGGCCTCCCAAAGTGCTGGGATTACAGGCTTGAGCCACCGCGCCCGGCCAATTGTTCTAGTTTTATTTGTTTTTTGTTTTTTTGTTTTTGAGACAGAGTCCTGCTCTGTCGCCAGGCGCCAGGCTGGGGTGCAGTGGTGCAATCTCGGCTCACTGCAATCTCCACCTCCTGGGTTTAAGCAATTCTCCTGCCTCAGCCTCCCAAGAAGCTGGGACTACAGGCGAGTGCCACCATGCCCGGCTAATTTTTGTATTTAAATAGAAACGGGGTTTCACCATGTTGGCCAGGATGGTCTCGATCTCTTAACCTCGTGATCTACCCACCTCAGCCTCCCAAAGTGCTGGGATTACAGGCGTGAGCCACGGCACCTGGCCTTGTTCTAATTTTTCTTTTTTTTGAGACGGAGTTTTGCTCTTGTTACCCAGGCTGGAGTGCAATGGCACGATCTCAGCTCACCGCAACCTCCGCCTCCTGGGTTCAAGCAATTCTCCTGCCTCAGCCTTCCGAGGAGCTGGGACTACAGGCGTGTGCCATTGTGCTCAGCTAATTTTTGTATTTTTAGCAGAGACGGGGTTTCACCTTGTTGACCAGGATGGTCTCGATCTCTTGACCTTGTGATCCACCCGCCTCGGCCTCCCAAAGTGCTGGGATTATAGGCGTGAGCCACCGGGCCCGGCTGTTCTAGTTTTAAAAATAAAGAGAATAGAGTGTGAAAAAGGCCAGGGCTCCAGACTACTCGGGACCACTCAGCAAGTCAGTTCCCAAACTAGAAATGAAATCAGATGTTTGTTTCTCTGAGCCCCGACTCTAAAAGAGAATTAGATTAGGTGACCCTAAGACTCTCTTCAGCTCTCTGATACTGTGATTCTAGAATATGGGGTCCATCTCCTTAGCACAAGGCTCCTGATCCACCTGAGGCTTTTTGCTCTCTCTCAGAAAACTGGCCCCAACCCTACTCTTCCTCCCTGGCTCTAGAACATCCTGGCCTGCCAGCTCTCCTGGGTCCTTGCTTCTTGGCTAGGAGCACATTACTACCATTTGTGGGCCCTCTGGGTCCAGTGTCCAGTGTGACAGGCCTTGTTATAACAGAGCAAGAGACTTAGATCCTTGCCAGGCACGGTGGCTCATGCCTGTAATCCCAGCACTTTGGGAGGCCAACGTGGGTGGATCACCTAAGGTCGGAAGTTTGAGACCAGCCTGACCAACTTGGAGAAACCTTGTCTCTACTAAAAATACAAAATTAGCTGGGAGTGGCAGGCAAGGAGAAAAGGTTCATCTGTATTTACAGCCACTCCCAATTCCTCATGTTACTGCCTGAGCTCCACCAACTGTCAGATCAGCTGCAGAATTAGATTCTCATAGCAGTGCAAATCCTATTATAAACTGTGCATGCAAGGGACCTAGGTTGTGTGCTTCTTATGAGAATCTAATGCCTGATGATCTGTCACTGTCTCTCAGCACCCCTAGATAGACTGTCTAGTTGCAGAAAAAGAAGTTCAGGGTCCCCACTGATTCTACATTATGGTGGGTTGTAGAATTATTTTATTATATGTTACAATGTAATTATAGTAGAAATAAAGTACACAATGAATGTAATGCTCTTTTATTTTTTTGAGATGGAGTGTCACTCTTGCTGCCCAACCTCCGCCTCCCGGATTCAAGTGAATCTCCTGCCTCAGCCTCTCAAGCAGCTGGAATTACAGGCATGCACCTGGCTACTTTTGTATTTTTTTAGTAGAGATGGGGTTTCACCACTGCGCCCGGCCAAAATTTAAATTAATTAAAATTAAAATTTTACTCTTGGCTGTTCTGTTTATGGAGTAGCCATTCTTTCAACGCTTTACTTTAAAAATTTTTTACTTTTGTTTGTCTGAGACAGGATCTCACTCTGTCGCCCAGGCTGGAGTGCAGTGGCATCATCACCACCTCCCAAAGTATTGGGAGTACAGATGTAAGCCACTGCATTCAGCCTTAAAATTATACTTATTCAGTCACTTTAACCAAATTCCAAGGACTTAGTTGTCACATGCTGCTAGTGCTCCTGGGATGGCCAGCCCATATCTGGGCACCTTCTACCTTTCCAGCCTCACTTCCTGCTGCTTGGATGGTACATTTTGGATGGCATATTATTTCCGCTCCCTTTTATCTAATTAACTTTTGCTCCTCCTTCAGCACCTTGACCCCCTTGTATGGTCAAAACACACTCTTACGTCATCTCACAGTACTGCCCCTTTGAAGCCGTGATGGCAGTTACAACTCATTATTTACATAACTGACTGATTATCCTATCTCCTCCAGTAGATATAAGCCCCTTTAGGGCAAGGATCTAGTCTGGTTTAGTTCACCTTTCCATCCCAAGTAGGAGCATGCTACTAGGCTTATGGTAGGTACTTAATAAATAGTCATTGTATCCACAGTACCCAAACTTTTCGGCATCAGGGATCAGTTTCATGGAAGATGATTTTTACACAGACTGGTTTCAGGATGATTCAAGAGCATTACAGGCCAGGCGGGGTGGCTCATGCCTCTAATCCCAGCACTTTGGGAGGCGGAGGCAGGCGGTTCACAAGGTCAGGAGTTTGAGACCAGCCTGACCAACATGGTGAAACCCCGTCTCTACTAAAAATACAAAAATTAGCCAGGCATGGTGGCACATGCCTGTAATTCCAGCTATTCAGGAAGCTGAGGCAGGAGAATTGCTTGATCCCGGAAGGCGGAGGTTGCAGTGAGCTGAGATTGCGCCACTGTAATCCAGCCTGGGTGATGGAGCAAGACTCCGTCTCAAAAAAAAAAAAAAGCATTACATTTGGCCAGGTGTGGTGGTTTATACCCGGAATCCCAGCACTTTGGGAGGCTGAAGCGGGTGGATCAGTAGTTTGAGAACAGCCTGGCCAACACGGTGAAACCCTGCCTCTACTAAAAATACAAAAAATTAGCCAGGTGTGATGATGGGTGCTGGTAATCCCAGCTATTCAGGAGGCTAAGACAGGAAAATCACTTGAACCTGGCAGGGGAGGTTGCAGTGGGCTGAGATCACACAACTGCGCTCCACCATGGGCAAGAGTGAGACTCCATCTTAAAAAAAAAAAAATTAAAATTTGAAATGGAAGTAGTGTAAATTTAGAATACTGATCATATCTTGAAATAGTAATATTTTGGACCTATGGAGTGAAATAAAACATCACTCGAATTAATTTCACTTGGTTTTTCTGTTTTTTACTTTTTAAAAAATGTGGCTACTAGAAAATTCCAAATTACATATGTGGCCTGCTTTATGTTTCTACTGGACAATGCTGAGCCAGACTGTGAAGATTTTGGTTCTAGGACATGAAGTCTCACCTCTTTTAATGGAAGGTGTTGTAGTTGGAAGCGAATTGCGCTTGGAGCCAAAGACCCCTGGGTCCTGCCCCTCAATGGATGGTGCCACATGGTACACCCACCAGGCAGCCGGTAAACATTCTTTGAACAGCCTGAGTTTCTTCATTTATCAGACGGAACAATAATACACGCTGTGTATTATTATCTCGTAGAGTCTAGGAGATCTGGAGTTGATTCTCCAGTAGTTCTCTGCCCTTGCTCACAGTGCGACCTTTAAGTAGTCCCTGAGCCTCAGTTTCCATTGCTTGTAGAAGCCACCGTGAAGGCGTGCGGAGGGGGCAAGCTGCCACAGGTGGGTCATGGTGCGTCTGTCCGTCGGTCTTACCTGAAAGCATCGGCAGAATTTGACGAACCCTGGGCCGGTCCCGCCAAGGGTTCCCCAGGGAACCGCGCAAAGTTCTGGGTGGGCTCCCGACACTCACAAGGGGTGCCCCTTGCCTTGTGCTCGGGGAGGAGGAGCGGAGCCAGGGAGAGGCTCATTTTGCTACTGTGAGTCGAGGCGTTCTCCAAGCAACGCCGAGGCCGTCACCACTTTCTGGTTTCTCTTTAACAATGGAATCTTCGCAAGTCGCCGCGTGGTCCGCGAGACGCCGTTTCCATGGTGACAGCCCGGCCGAGGATTCAGACCAATGTGTCTGTGGGGAGGGTGAGTGCAGGTCCTGGTCCTAGCCTGTAACGGGCGTCATGTAAAGGACCCCGGAAGACAATGCCTTTGTATAATCCGTTTACTATCCCGAGGGGATTCGCGGAGTTTCTGGGGGCTTGTGCAAGCTGGCGCTGGGGACCCTCTTTCCTCGGTGGTAGAGGCCGGGCGGGGCTGCGCATGCGCGTAGAGAGCGGGCGGCAGGAGGCCGGTGGATCAAGGTAGCGTTGTGCTGCAGGGTCTTTGCGGGGAGTTTCGGGGAGCGCTTGGACCCAGGCTTCTGGGACGCGTCAGGTACGTCTCCGATTCCGGCGTCGCCGGGCAGCGCTGCCTAGGTTCACCTGGGGGGCCCGGGAACGCCCAGGCCTGGCCTGGAGAGAGGCGGCGGGAGGGCGACCCCGGGCGGTGGCCGCCCTCCTCTGTGTGTCTCCGCGGTTGTGAATTGGGGCGGTCATTCCTACCCGTAGGTCGCCGTGAAGGTGCGTGAGATCGTGCGTGTGAACGTTTGTTGTCAGCTTTTACCTGAGTCCGACAGCCCTGGGGGGCCCTACACCTGCGTAACATGCCTGTCTCTGAACTCCTTGGGGGACACGTATACTTTTGAGAATCCGATGAAAGCCAAAGATTCCTCCCTTATTTTCTTAGAATTAAATAAATATAATATATTTTACGGCCTGTTGGAAACGGAAAACCTTTGCATAATCATTAGTGATCAGTATCAATATCTATGGATTGGGAGACCACTTACTTGATCCTCTTTCCAGGGTCGTTGTGAGAATCAAGTGCACAGCTTCTCATAAACACTAAATACTATAACATCTTGTGATCCAGGTACTATTATTATTCCTCATTGCAAAGAAAGAAGCCGAAGCCCAGGGGGCATAAATGCTGGGGTCCCGCTGGGGGTAAGCAACAGAATGATCATTGGAAGCCAGGTGCTCCCCATTCACTTCCTTTGTGCTGAAAACGCTCTTCTTGGGAGTTTCACTAGAAAGAAGATTGCCTTGGGCCAAGGGGACAGCTTGTACCTCAAGTCCACGCGGATGCCCCAGAACCCCAGGATCTCAGCCGACCTGTTTGTGGATTATTAGATCTGATTTAAAAGGTAGCTAATCCGGCCGGGTGGGGTGGCTCCCGCTTGTAATCCCAGCACTTTGAGAGGCCGAGGTGGGCAGATCATGAGGTTAGGAGTTTGAGACCAGCCTGGCCAATGTGGTGAAACTCCATTACTACTAAAAATAAGAAAACTAGCCAGACATGGTGGTGCGCGCCTGTAGTCCCAGCTACTTGGGAGGCTGAGGCAGAAGAATCACTGAACCCAGGAAGTGGAGGTTGCAGTGAGCCAACACTGGCCTCTGCACTCCAGCCTGGGCAGCAGAGCGAGACTCTGTCAAAAAAAAAAAAAAAAAGTAGCTAATCCAGACCCTTCCTCATCTGTAATATATGGATGACAGTTCCCAGCTGTAGTGTTATGAGAATTAGTGTGGTCATGAGTGAGGTGCCCCAGTTAAAGCCCCAGAAGTAAAGCAGCTGGGCCAAAGTCTAGCAGGCAGCTGAGAGCAGAGCCAGCCCTGAAACCTGGTTTTGTCCAGGCCATGTGCTCAGGCACAGTGCAGTCAGCATCAATGGGGACTTAGCTTATTTTTCTGTCTTCAAATGTCTCTGGATACTAGGAGTGTTGGGGACTGCTTTTTAACTGTGTTTTATTTTGTTTGTAAGTAAAACATGAATATATTCTCATTGTAATAATTCATTTAATCTTGAGTATTTAATATAATTTTATATTGTACCCTATGAAATTGCCACAATGTGACCTTTTTTTAACCTATAAAATGAATTTCATTCAAGTCAGTCATCCTACTCCCTTTTTCAAGTTTAACCACTATGAGCAATTTGGTGTATCCTTCTAGCTCTTTCTCTCTCTCTTTCTGTGTCTCTGTCTCTCTCTTTCTTTTTTTTCTCTCTCTTTCTTTCCTTTCTGTTGTAGTTTCGCTCTTGTTGCCTAGGTTGGCGAGATCTTGGCTCACTGAAACCTCCACCTCCCAAGTTCAAGCGCTTCTTCTGCCTCAGCTTCCCGAGTAGCTGGGATTACAGGCGCCTGCCACCACGCCCAACTAATTTTTATATTTTTAGTAGAGATGGGGTTTCACCATGTTGGCCAGGCTGGTCTTAAACTCCTGACCTCATGATTCACCCACCTCAGCCTCCCAAAGTGCTGGGATTGCAGGCGTGAGCCACTCCCTGGCCGAAAATGCATCTTTTAATGATGTGCCTCACATGTTACTAATACAAGGATAATTATTTATGTGTCTGTGTACAGGTACATATACACACACACACATACATATATACCTTTAGCCAACTGATCATGCCCTAGCATTTTCATTTTTAATATAGGTAGGAAAATGCCCACATCTCAAGAGGTACTGCAAGGAATGAAAAATAAACGAAGTGTGTCTAGCACTGTGCCTGACACATAGTAGATACACAGGAAGTGATATGAATTAGTTTTTGTTACTGTGCCCTTTGAAGAACTTTCCTCGTGGATATTCCTCTTATTTTATTCTTGTTCTGCCCTTTACATAAGATTATACATGTAAGATTCATGCTTTTCCCTCTCCTAACTGCTTTCTCTTCTCCAGCAGAGACAGCGCCAGGGCCTTACAGTGTGTTTTGGATGGTGATGACATAACATCAACCCCTCCCTCAGCATCTTGGTCCCCACCTGTCCCCTCCACTACCAGGGTGGAAGCATTCTGGTTTGTCCAAGTTTTAAAGTGCTGTGCCCAGGCCCAAAGGCCATCCCCTAGGTTGCTGGTCTATGATTGTTTTTATTTTTATTTTATTTTTTTGAGACAGAGTCTCGTTCTGTCATGCAGGCTGACGTGCAGTGGCACGATCTTGGCTCACCGTAAGCTCCGCCTCCAAGGTTCAAGCAGTTCTTGTGCCTCAGCCTCCTGAGTAGCTGGGATTACAGGTGAGCATCACCATTTCCAGCTAATTTTTGTATTTTTAAAATTTTCGCCATGTAGGCCAGGCTGGTCTCGAACTTCTGACTTCAGGTGATCCACCCACCTTGGCCCCGCAAAGTGCTGGGATTACAAGCGTGAGCCACCATATAATTGTTTTTAATTACAAACACATAACTACCAGGAAAGCTATCATGATCACATAACCCAAAATACCTTTATTTATTTATAAATTATATATACATATACTTAGGTATTGTATGTTATAAAACTTACAGAGAAGCTTCTAAACTTTTATCATTAATTTCAGTGAGATCGATTTCTCCCTCAGTGAAAACAGCCTGGAATTTTTTTTTCCTGTTCTCATTGGATACATGTCTTGCTGATTATCATGGATTCATACTTTGAATTCTGTTTTAATGATAATGTATCTAAAACCTTGTTTCAAAAATCTTGAAAAGATAGGGACCGCTCCTTCTGCCTTTTTTGGCCAATTTCTTGTCAGATTCAATTAACCTGTTACAGCTTTTAGTTCATGATGTAGTGAAGGAAGACCTTACTCCCAGGAGGAGGAGCAGTGAGGGTTCTGCTGTTTTCTTTTTGCTGACTTGTGCTGTCATTGTTGTTCTCTTCAGTCAATGGTTTTTGAGAAGGATTCTTTGTAAACTGTGTGTGTGCTGTAAGTTACAATTGGGTAATATAGGCAAGGCACAGTGGCTTATGCCTGTAATCCCAGCACTTTGGGAGGCGGAGGCGGGAGGTGGGAGGCGGAGGTGGGAGGTTCACGAGGTCAGGAGTTCGAGACTAGCCTGGCCAACATGGTGAAACCTTGTCTCTACTAAAAATGCAAAAATTAACCGGGTGTGGTAGCACACGCCTGTAGTCCCAACCACTTGGGAGGCTGAGGCAGGAGAATCATTTGAAACCCGGAGGTGGAGGATGCAGTGAGTTGAGACCATGCCATTGCACTCCAGCCTGGGTGACAGAGTGAGACTCCATCTCAAAAAAAAAAAAAAAAAAAAAAAAAAATTGGGTAATAAAGTCCAGGCATGGTGGCTCAGGCATGTAATCCTAGCACTTTGAGAGGCCAAGTTGGGCCAGTCACTTGAGCTCAGGAGTTCATTACCAGCCTGGGCAACATGGTGAAACCCCATCTGTACAAAAAATACAAAAATTAGCTGGGCCTGGTGGCGTGTGCCTGTGATCTCAGCTATTCGGGAAGCTGAGGCAGGAGAAGTGCTTGAGCCTGGGAGGTCGAGGCTGCAGTGAGCCAAGATCATGCCACTGCACTGTAGCCTGGGCGACAGAGTGAGACCCCGTCTTAAAATTTTTTTTGGTGATTTGTGTGAACAAAAGAACACTAACCCCTGTCTTATATCATATACAAAAATTAATTCAAGATGAATTATAGTCACAAATATGAAATGTAAACAATAATATTACCAGAAGTTAGCAAAAAATATCATCATGATCTTGGGGTAGGCAATGTTTTTTTGGTGGGGGAGTGGGGATGGGGTCTCACTCTGTCACTGGACAGGCTGGAGTGCAGTGGCATAATCTCAGCTCACTGCAACCTCTGGCTCCCGGTCGCAAGCAATCCTCCCACCTCTGCCTCCTGAGTAGCTGGGACCACAGGCACACACCACGGTGCCCAACTAATTTTTTGTATCTTTGATAAGATAGGGTTTTGCCATGTTGCCCAGGATGGTCTCAAACTCCCGGACTCAAGTGATCTGCCTGCCTCTGCCTGCCAAAGTGCTAGGATTATAGGTATAAGCCACCACACCTGGCCTGGGGTAGGCAAACATTTTATAATAGGATACAAACACTAATCATTAAAAAATACTAATAAATTGGGCTGGGCGTGGTGGCTCATGCCTATAATCCAAACACTTTGGGAGGCTGAGGTGGGCGGATCACCTGAGGTCAGGAATTCAAGACCACCCGGGCCAACATGGCAAAACCCCATCTCTACTAAAAATACAAAAATTAGTTGGGTGTGGTGGCAGGTGTCTGTAATCCCAGCTACTCAGGAGGCTGAGGCAGGAGAATTGCTTGAACCCAGGAGGCAAAGGTTGCAGTGAGTGGAGATCGTGTCACTGCCCTCCAGCCTGGGCAACAAAGTGAGACTCCATCTCTAAATAAATAAATGAAATAATGAATGAATGAATGTTGGATTTCATTACAATTAAGAACTTCTGGCTGGGTGCAGTGGCTCATGCCTGTACATGCCTCCTTTAGGAGGCCGAGGTGGGCAGATCACGATCACAAGGTCAAAAGATGGAGACCATCACGGCCAACATTGTGAAACCGCATCTGTACTAAAAATAAAAAAAAAATTAGCTTGGCGTGGTGGCGTGTGCCTGTAGTCCTAGCTACTTAGGAGGCTGAGGGAGGAAAATCACTTGAACCTGGAAGGCAGAAATTACAGTGAGCCAAGATTGTGCCACTGCACTCCAGCCTGGCAACAGAGCAAGACTCTGTCTCAAAAAAAAAAAAAAACAAAACTTCATTGATCAAAAGAAGCTAATAAGAAATCAAAAAGAGGTCGGGCACAGTGGTTCATGCCTGTAATTCCAGCACTTTGGGAGGCCGAGGCAGATGAATAACTTGAGGTCAGGAGTTTGAGACCAGCCTGCTCTGGTCTTTACCAGCCTGGCTAACATAGCAAAACCCCTCTCTACTAAAAATAACAAAAATTAGCTGGGCATGGTGGCATGTGCTTGTAATCCCAGTTACTCTGGAGTCTGAGGCAGGAGAATCACTTGGACCTGGGAGGCAGAGGTTGTAGTGAGCTGAGATCATGCCACTGCACTCCAGCCTGATGACAGAGGGAGACTCTATCTTAAAAAAAAAAAAAAAAAAAAAAATGGCAAAAGACATGAACAAGCATGTCACAAAAGAGAGTATCCAGAACTGGGCATGGTGGCTCGTGCCTGTAATCCCAGTACTTTCAGAGGCTGAGGTGGGTGGATCGCCTGAGGTCAGGAGTTTGAGACCAGCCTGGCCAACATAGTAAAACTCCATCTCTACTAAAAATACAAAAAATTAGCCAGGCGTGGTGGTGCACATGTGTAATCCCAGCTACTCGGGAGGCAGAGGTCGCAGTGTGCCTAGATCGTACCATTGCACTCCAGCCTGGGCAACAAGAGTGAAAAAAAAATAAAAAAAGAGAGAGAGACAGAGTATCTATATATGTCCAAAAAGTATGTTAAATGGTGCTCAATTTAATTAGTTATTTGGGAAAAGCAAATTAAACAATGCAGCACTACTACATACCTGCCACAAAGGATAAGGTGAAAAAGATAGAAAGTACCAGATATTGACAAGGATCTTTTGCAAACTGCAGTTAGGAGTCTAAATTGGTACAATTACTTTGGAAAACCATTTGGCAGTATCTGCTAAAGCTAAATATATGAATGCTCTATGACTCTACAGTTCTACCTCTAAATATGGAACCAGAAAAGTGTGCATATGCATGTAGATATACATGCCCAAGCATCATGTTCTTAGCAGGCCTTTTTTTTTTTTTTTTGAGACAGGGTCTTGTTCTGTTGCTCAGACTGGAGTGTGCAGTGGGTGATCATAGCTCACTGCAGCCTCAAACTCCTGGGCTCAAGCAATCCTCCCACCTCAGCCCCCTGAGTAGCTAGGACTATAAGGGTACACCACCATGCCTGTCTGATTTTTCAATTTTTTTTTTTTTGTAGAAATGAGGTCTCATTATGTTGCCCAGGCTGGTCTTGAACTCCTGGCATCAAGTGATCCTTCTGCCTTGGCCTGCCAGGCATAAGCAACCATGCTTGGCCTAGCAGCACTATTTTTGATGGTCCGAAACTGGAAACCAGCTAGGCCTGGTGGTTCATGCGTGTAATCCCAGCACATTGGAAGGCTGAGGCAGGCGGATCACTTGAGCCCAAGAATTTAAGACCAGACTGGGCAACATGGCGAAACTCCCATCTCTATTAAAAATGCAAAAAATTAGCTAGTGTGATGGTGTGTACCTGTAGTTCTAGCTGCTCATGAGACTGAGGTGGGAGGGTCACCTGAGCCTGAGAGGTCGAGGCTGCAGTGAGCAGACATAGCACCACTGCACTCCAACCTGGGGGACCGGAATGAGAACCTATCTTAAAAAACAAAACAAAAATTAAAAAAAACAAAAAACAAAAAACTAGAAGCAGCTCAAATGTCCATCTCTGTAGACAAGTAAATTTTGCTGTGTTTATACAATAGAGTATTATCCAGCAATGCAAATGAACAAACCGTAACTACACACAGCTGCATGGATAAATGTCAGAAACATGACGTTGAATGTGAGAAGCCAGATGCAAATGAGGACTCCCTGTACAATTCCATGCATGTAAAGTGGCCAGGTGAGGCTTATGGAATGCTGAAATGCTCTGGATCCCGATCTGGAGGGTGGTTTAAATAATTTTTTTGAGTCAGCACATTGGTTCACACCTGTAATCCCAGCACTTTGGGAGGCCAAGGTGGGCCAATCACTTGAGGTCAGTAGTTTAAGATTAGCCTGGCTAACATGGTGAAAGCCTGTCTCTACTAAAAATGCAAAAATTAGCCGGGCATGGTGGCACACGCCTGTAATCCCAGCTATTTTCGAGGCTGAGGCATGAGAATGACTTGAACCTAAGAGGCAGAGGTTGTAGTGAGCCAAGATTATGCCACTGCGCTCCAGCCTGGGCGACAGAGCAAGGCTCTGTCTCAAAAAATTAATCATAAATAAAAAGTTAAAAATTTTTAAATTATTTGATTTTAATTATTTTTAGAGACAAGGGTCTCACTATGTTGCTCAGGCTGGTCTTGAACTCTTGGGCTCAAGCAGTCCTCCTACCTTGTCCTCCCAATGTGCTGGGATTTCAGGTTTGAGTCCATGCCTGGACCTGAACAGTGGTTATACTTGTATAGTAAAAACTCATGAAACCTTACCCTTATGATCTGTAGTAGACTTTTCTGTATTAACGTCATATATTTTCTTTTTTAATTTTTTATCTTTTTTTTTTTTTTTTTTTTGGTGGAGACGGGTCCTGCTAAGTTTCCCAGGCTGGTTTTGAACTCCTGTGCTCAAGCAGTCCTCCTGCCCTGGCCTCCCAAAGTCCTGGGATTACAGGTGTGAGCCACTGTACCCAGCCTAAATTAAAAGTTCGCTTCTCCCCTTTTTTTCTTTCCCAAAAACCTGGGTGTTATCAGTAAATCTACGTAAGTAGGCCTAGGTGAATTGCAGTAGGTTGCACTATGCTGAAAGCAAATGTACGGGGCAGGGAGGTCCAGCTCTGCCACAGCCTAGACCTGCCCCCTTTTCAGGACACCTCACCTCACCTTCATAACAGGACAGGTAACCTGACATATGAGATGACAAGTGACACTGGTGACAAGTGAGGGGCATTGTTATCAAAAAGGAAATAAAAGCGTAGCTTTATTTCTCTTTCTTTTTTTTTGGTGGGTGGTGGGGGGGAACAGAGTTTCACTCTTGTTGTCCAGGCTGGAGTGCAGTGGCGCAGTCTCAGCTTACTGCAGCCTCCACCTCCCGGGCTCAAGTGATTCTCTTGCCTCAGCCTCCTGAGTGGCTGGGATTACAGGCATGCACCACCATGCCCAGCTAATGTTGTATTTTTAGTAGAGACAGAGTTTTTCCGTGTTGATCAGGCTGATCTTGAACTCCTGACTTCAGGTAATCCGTCTACCTTGGCCTCCCAAAATGCTGGGATTACAAGCATGAGCCACTGCCTCTGGCCATTTCTTTATTATTATTTTTTTGGAGACAAGGTCTTGCTCTTTCACACAGGCTGGAGTGCAGTGGCATGATCATAGCTCACCGGAGGCTCAAATTCATGGGTTCAAGTGATCCTCCCACCTCAGCCTACTGAATAGCTGAGACTACAGGCATGTACCACCATGCCCGGGCAATTTTTGTATTTTTTGTAGAGCAAGGTTTTGCCATGTTGGCCAGGCTGGTCTTGGATCCTGGGCTCAAGCGATCTGTCTGTCTCAGCCTCCTGCGTAACTGAGACTGTAGGTGTACACCACCATGCCAGGCTAATTTTTTTTTTTTTTTTTTTTTGAGACGGTCTCTCACTCCATAGCCTAGCCTGGAGAGCAGCAGTGGATCACAGCTCACGGAGCCTCAGTCTCCCTGGGTTCCAGCCATCCTCCCACCTCAGCTTCCCAAGTAGTTAGGACTACAGGCATGTGCCACTGTGCCCCACCCAAAAATCTTAGCATACCACGTAGCACAGAGAGAGCATTCAGCACATGGGAGCTTTTTTTTTTTTTTTTTTTTAAACGAAAGCTTTCCTGCACAACACATGGGAATCCATTTTGTGCTGCTGTAACAGATTACCCCAGATTGGGTAATTTATAGAGAAAAGAAGGCCGGGTGGCTCACACCTGTAATCCCAGCACTGTGGGAGGCCAAGGCAGGCGGATCATGATCATGAGGTCAGCAGATCGAGACCATCCTGGCCAACATGGTGAAACCCTGTCTCTGCTAAAAATATAAAAATTAGCTGGGCATAGTGGTGTGCGCCTGTAGTCTCAGCTACTCAGGAGGCTGAGGCAGGAGAACTGCTTCAACCCGGGAGGTGAAGGTTGCAGTCAGCCGAGATTGCCCCACTGCACTCCAACCTGGGCGACAGAGTGAGACTTTGTCTCAAAAAAAAAAATTAATAAATAAAAGAAAAGAAGTTTATTTGGTTCACAGTTCTGGAGACTGGGAAGTCCAAGAGCATGGTGCAAGTATTTGGTGAGGGTCATCCGATGTGAGGCAGAAGGTGCACACGGGGAGCACGTGCATGAGACAGAAGCATGTCAGCAGAACTTACCCTTTTACCAGGAGCCCACTCCTGAGATAGCTAACCTACTCCCATGACAACAGCATTAATCCACTCAGGAGAGCAGAGCTCACATGGGCCAGTCACCCCTTAAAGGCTCGCCCCTCTTAATACTGTTACCATGGCAGTGAAATTTTAACATGAGTCTTGGTGGCGAGATTCAAACCATAGCACCAGGATCGTTAGTAGCCACATGATAAAATGTATGTTTTCAAGATTAGAGGACAATGGCGTAAGGTCAGTGATCCAGCTGTCTTTTCCCCCTAACTTTTTCTGATACTAGGTGAAGGGAGCACTGGCTTTGCCTTCATGAGGCCAAAGATGCCCTTCTTTGGGAATACATTCAGTCCAAAGAAGACACCTCCTCGGAAGTCTGCATCTCTCTCCAACTTGCATTCTGTGAGTGTCGGTACTGGGGTCGGCCCAGTGTGCAGCATGAGTTGAGTGCTGAGTGTGTGGCTGAATGGAAATGGGTCCTCCGGAGGCATCATTGCAGGAGGGCATCCTTTCTATCCATGTGATTGCTATTGCTGATAACATTTTCGAACTCTTGTTTGGGAATGATTGTCAGAGCTTGTTTATCCAGGAACCTAAGAAGACAATCTCGTTATGATATTTGATCCCAAACACTATTATTCAGTTTTTTTTTTGTTGTTTTTTTTTTTGAGATGGAGTCTTTCTTCCCTTGAGTGGTGCATTCTCAGCTCACTGTAACCTCCACCTCCTGGGTTCAAGTGATTCTCCTTCCTCAGCCTCCTGAGCGAGTAGCTGGGATTGTAGGTGCCTGCCACCATGCCTGGCTAATTTTTTTTTTTTTTTTGAGATGGAGTTTCACTCTTGTTGCCCAGGCTGGAGTGCAGTGGCGTGATCTCAGCTCACTGCAACATCTGCCTCCCGGGCTCAAGTGATTCTCCTGCCTCAGCCTCCTAAGTAGCTGGGATTACAGGCATGTGCCACTATGCCCAGCTAATTTTGCACATTTTTGAGCAGAGACAGGGTTTCTCCATGTTGGTCAGGCTGGTCTCGAACTCTTGACCTCAGATCCTCTGCCTGCCTCGGCCTCTCAAAGTGCTGGGATTACAGGCATGAGTCACCATGCCCGGCTTAGAATGTTCTTCTCTATTGATTAATTCAGGAGCTATTGATTGATACCTTTCTATGTGGCAGGCACTCTTCTAAGCACTGGCAGGCAGAAGTGGATGAAGGAGGGGAGAGGAAAAACACCCAATCCCTGCCTTCATGGGGCAGATATTTTAATGGAAGACTACAGAAAATAAGCACATTTAAATCAGAGGGTGATAGGTGGTAGACAGCAAAACAAAGCATAGGCCTGAGAAGGGGTGTTTCTGAGTAGTGGGTACAGAACTGTCATCTTCACCAGGGTGGTCAGGAAGGCCTGACTGAGAAAGGGACATTTGTGCACTTCCCTGAAGGTCTCTCCCTGTTGAGCCGCTCTTGAGGAAGATCTGGTCATACTCATCCCTGGATACCCAGTACTGAGTCCTGAATTAGGGTGGGTGTTCAGTGAGTTGTAGAAATGAATATATGGGCTGGGTGCAGTGGCTCATGCCTGTAATTCCAGCACTTTAGGAGGTTGAGGCATCACTTGAGGTCAGGAGTTTGACACCAGCCTGGACAATGTGGTGAAACTCCGACTCTACCTTAAAAAACACAAAAATTAGGCCGGGTGCAGTGGCTCATGCCTGTAATCTCAGCACTTTGAGAGGCTGAGGCGGATGGATCACAAAGTCAGGAGTTCAAGACCAGCCTGGCCAAATTTGGTGAAACCTCGTGTCTACTAAAAAATAGAAAAATTAGTCAGGTGTGGTGGCACACGTCTGTAGTCCCAGCTACTTGGGAGGCTAAGGCAGGAAAATCACTTGAACCCGGGAGGCGGAAGTTGCAGTGAGCCGTGATTGCGCCACTGCACTCCAGCCTGGGCGACAGAACGAGACTCCGTCTCAAACAAAACAAAACAAAAATTAGCCAGATGTGGTGGTACACGCCTGTAGTCCCAGCTACTCGGAGGCTGATGTGGGAGGATCACTTGAACCTGGGAGGTGGAAGCTGCAGTGAACTGAGATGGTGCCACTGTACTCCAGCCTGGGCGACAGAGGGAAACTATATCAAAAAAGAGAGAAAGAAAAGAAATGACTATGTAAATTGTACTGTTGCACATTAAGAAGCAACTCCTCTTCTTCCTGTTAGAATTTCACATCTTTTCCACAACATATGTAGCTCTATATTAAGAAAATGATAACTTAGGGGACTATTATATTTAAAAAGGATTTTTCACTTGATTAACAATTTACAGTAGGATTGCTTCAACTATTAAGTGTCTAGTAGATGTAAAATAATTCAATTTATAAATTTCAGTATATATACCTTTTCTAGAAAACATCTAATATAAAAAACAGTATTTTTTTATCTTGTAATTAAACTTTTGCTGTACATCATCTGATTTTATGGCCTTTACAAAAATCATTAAAGGTGCCAGGTAATGATTAGAAAAATAAGTTAGTGGGTTACATTGTTAGGGGAAGAGGAGCTGGAATGAGGGCAAGTTCCGGGCCTGCTGAAGCTGTCACATAGCGTCTCGCCCACAGTTGGACCGGTCAACCCGGGAGGTGGAGCTGGGCTTGGAATATGGATCCCCCACTATGAACCTGGCAGGGCAGAGCCTGAAGTTTGAAAATGGCCAGTGGATAGCAGGTGAGCTGCACTTCCTGCCATCTCATCAATCAGGGTTGTAGAAGGAAACCCCCCTTTAACTGGTTCTGTCCTTCCTCCAGAGACAGGGGTTAGTGGAGGTGTGGACCGGAGGGAGGTCCAGCGCCTTCGCAGGCGGAACCAGCAGCTGGAGGAAGAAAACAATCTCTTGCGGCTGAAAGTGGACATCCTGTTAGACATGGTGAGGCGGGTGATGGGGAAGAGATGCCTAGGTTCTCCTTTCGGGGAGGCTCCACCTCGAGTCATTTAAGCCAACAGATACCTCCTCAATGCCAGTTTGGCCAGGTACGTTGCTTTGTATCCCAAGACACACGCGAGAAACAAGACACAGTTCGTGCCCACGGTCTAGAGGTAGGTGGGCCGTATGATGACGGCAGTGGTAAGAACCCGGCTGGAGTCTGCACAGCGTCTGCACAGCACACGAGGGAGAAGTCAATTCTGTCAGGTCAGGAGAGCTTCCCAGAGGAAGGGATATCTGAGCTGAAAGTAGAAGGATAATGGCAGGAATGGAGGTTGGGATGGAAGCATCCCAGGAAGAGGGGAGGAGCTGGTTCATAGGCATTAATTAATACCCAGCACAGACCTGCTGAGAGGCTCACACTGTGTTAGCGTTGGTTTCTTGTGGCTATTAAAAATCCAGCAACCCATTGGGCCTAGAGGAGCCTGTGAAGATTCAGAGACAAGAGAGCACACACGGTGGTGGTGAAGAGCACATACACTCTGTAGCAAAATGGCCTGGGCTCCTTGCCCAGCTCTGCTATTGACTAACTGCTCTGCGATTTAATTTCTTCAGCAATAAATGGCGTAACAGCTAATTGTGGGGGTACACTCCTGGAGTCCCAGCTGTTCAGGAAGCTAAGACAGGAGGATGGCTTAACCCCAGGAGTTTGAGACCATCCTGGGCAACAAAACAAGACCCTGTCTTTTTTTGTTGTTTTTTTGGGACAGTGCCCAGGCTGGAGTGCAATGGTGTGATCTCAGCTTACCACAACCTCCGCATCCCGGGTTCAAGCAATTCTTCTGCCTCAGCCTCCCAAGTAGCTGGGATTACAGGCCCGTGCCACCATACCTGAATAATTTTGTATTTTTAGTAGAGATGGGGTTTCTCCATGTTGGTGAGGCTGGTCTCAAACTCCCAACCTTAGGTGATCTGCCTGCTTCAGCCTCCCCAAGTGCTGGGATTACAGGCGTGAGTCACCGCACACTGCTGACTCTGACATTTTTTTTTTTTTTTTGAGACGGAGTTTCGCTCTTGTTACCCAGGCTGGAGTGCAATGGTGCGATCTCGGCTCACCGCAACCTCCGCCTCCTGGGCTCAGGCAATTCTCCTGCCTCAGCCTCCTGAGTAGCTGGGATTACAGGCACATGCCACCATGCCCAGCTAATTTTTTGCACTTTTAGTAGAGATGGGGTTTCACCATGTTGACCAGGATGGTCTCGATCTCTCGACCTCGTGATCCACCCGCCTCGGCCTCCCAAAGTGCTGGGATTACAGGCTTGAGCCACCGCGCCCGGCGACTCTGACTTTTTTTAAAAAAAAAAAAAAGGACTAGGCTGCGTGCGGTGGCTCACGTCTATAATCCCAGCACTTTGGGAGGCTGAGGCGGGTGGATCATGAGGTCAACAGTTTGAGACCAGCCTGACCAACGTGGTGAAACCCCGTCTCTACTAAAAATACAAAAATTAGCCGGGTGTGGTGGCATGCACCTGTAATCCCAGCTATTCGGGAGGCTAAGGCAGGAGAATCGCTTGAACCTGATAGGCGGAGGTTGCAGTGGGCTGAGATAATTTTTACTTGTATTTATTTATTTTTTTGAGACAAAGTCTTGCTCTGTAGCCCAGACTGGAATGCAGTAGCATGATCTCTGTTCACTGCAACCTCTGCCTCTCGGATTCAAGTGATTCTTCTGCCTTGTCCTCCTGAGTAACTGAGATTATAGGCTCCCACCACCACACCTGTTTAATTTTTGCATTTTCACTAGAGAAGGGGTTTCACCATGTTGGCCAGGCTGGTCTGAAATTCCTGACCTCAAGTGATTAGCCTGCCTCAGCCTCCCAAAGTGCTGAGATTACAGGCATGAGCCACTGCACCTCGCTTGGATGGTTTTTTAAAAATGAGCATAATAAGGCCGGGCGCGGTGGCTCAAGCCTGTAATCCCAGCACTTTGGGAGGCCGAGGCGGGTGGATCACGAGGTCAAGAGATCGAGACCATCCTGGTCAACATGGTGAAACCCCGTCTCTACTAAAAATACTAAAAATTAGCTGGGCATGGTGGCGTGTGCCTGTAATCCCAGCTACTCAGGAGGCTGAGGCAGGAGAATTGCCTGAACCCAGGAGGCGGAGGTTGTGGTGAGCCGAGACTGCACCATTGCACTCCAGCCTGGGCAACAAGAGCGAAACTCTGTCTCAAAAAAAAAAAAAAAAAAAAAAAATGAGCATAATTGTAGTATGTACCTCATAGTGAGTTAGTACAAGAAAAGCAGCCAACCTGAGCGATAGAGCGAGACCCTGTCTCAAAAAATGAAAACAAAAAACAAACAAACAACCCTAAGGAGGAAAGTGGCATTCTTTTTCAAACATTTTTTTCCCCTAATCCCCATTATGGGAGCTACAGCGTAGAAGCAACTTAAACTCTGATCTCTTAGCCTTAGATTCACCAGTATCTGTCTTTGACATCCTCTGAGACCTGCTCTACTTCATGCAGGGAGTACCATGTGCTTGTGGGTGACAGCCTGCTGACAGAGTGCACTGTGAATATTCTTCAAGTACTTGTGGTCCTGGGTCATCAGGTGCTTGCATTCTACCCAGGTACAGAGGGCTTCCCATCATGGAGGCCAGCAGCATCAGAGAAGCGCCAGGGGCCTTTCCTCCGCGTGTAGGGCCGGCCTTGCAAACCTGAAACATCTCCTAGAAATGTCCTGCCTTCTAACAGCTGCTGCTTTACTTTCAGCTCTCAGAGTCCACTGCCGAATCCCAATTAATGGAGAAGGAACTGGATGAACTGAGGATCAGCCGGAAGAGAAAATGAAGACTCCAGAGGCATTCATTACGGAGTAGGATGTGGCTAAGTGCTTTTTTTTTTCCGGTCAGACTAGCGGATTTGGTCCTGGGAGAGAGTATAATTTAATGGGACCCACAGGCACTGGCACCCTTGGGTTGGCAATCGAAGGTGACATGGAATGGAGAAGACCAAGATTCCAGATGGGGGCAGTAATGAGAAGGCGCTTCACATGCACTGTCTGCAGATGCCAGTCTGAAAACCAGACTGCGTGGAGGTCTGGGTCTGCTGACGAGCTTTTGGGCGCTCCCCACACACATAAGCTTGCAAACACACACGTCCCAGAATAGCTCTGTTGGGCCCTGTTGGGAGAAGTGGCTGGAGTTCATTCTCTCACCCGCTTACGTAGGTGTTTAGGTGTGGCGGCAGTTCTGCAGAGCTCTATGTTGGGGGTCATGAATGTGCGGCTCTCCTGGCTCTTAAAGGCAGCCCTCTCTCTTCCTGCCTTTAAAGAATCCTCCTCCCTCACACCCAGCCTCCTCTGGCCTCTGCTTCTCAACAGCAAGCACCAGCCTTCCTCAGCAACACTATGTTTTATGCTACTTTCCTGTTTGCACTACTTTTTTATTAAATGATCTTAAATGATCTTTCTGTGACCAAAGTGACTAAAAAGAGAAGCATGAATTCCTCAAGAAGTAAATGGAGCTGGTCAGGCATGGTGGCTCACACCTGTAATCCCAGCACTTTGGGACGCTGAGGTGGGTGAATCACCTGAGGTCAGGAGTTCAAGAGCAGCCTGGCCAATAGAGTGAAACCCCATCTCTACTAAAAATACAAAAGTTAGGCTGGTTGCAGTGGCTCACACCTGTAATCCCAGCACTTTGGGAGGCCGAGGTGGGAAGATCATGAGATCAGGAGATTGAGACCATCCTGGCCAATGTAGTGAAACTCTGTCTCTAGTAAAAATAACAAAAATTAGCTGGACATGGTGGCGGGCACCTGTAGTTCCAGCTATTTGGGAGGCTGAGGCAGGAGAATTGCTTGAACCAAGGAGGCAGAGGTTGCAGTGAGCCGAGGTCACACCACTGCACTCCAGTGTGGTGACAGAGTGAGACTCCATCTCAAAAAAGAAAAAAAAAAAAGAATTAAATGGAACCTGGCCAGGTGTGGTGACTCACACTTGTAATCCCAGCACTTTGAGAGGCTGAGGTGGCTGATTGCTTTAGCTCAGGAGTTCAAGACCTGGCAATAGCAAAACAAAATACAAAAACTCATATTGCCAGGCATGGTGGTGCACACTCATAGTCCCAGCCTCTCAGGAGGCTGAGATGGGAGGATCACCTGAGTCCAGGAAGGTTGAGGCTGCAGTGAGCTGTGATTGCTCCACTGCACTCCAGCCTGGGTGACAGAACAAGATCCTGTTTAAAAAAATATATATATGGGCCGGGCGCGGTGGCTCAAGCCTGTAATCCCAGCACTTTGGGAGGCCGAGGCGGGTGGATCACGAGGTCAAGAGATCGAGACCATCCTGGTCAACATGGTGAAACCCCGTCTCTACCAAAAATACAAAAAATTAGCTGGGCATGGTAGCGTGTGCCTGTAATCCCAGCTACTCAGGAGGCTGAGGCAGGAGAATTGCCTGAACCCAGGAGGCAGAGGTTGCGGTGAGCCGAGATCGCGCCATTGCACTCCAGCCTGGGTAACAAGAGCGAAACTCCCTCTCATAAAAAAAAAAAAAAAACTCCCTCTCATAAAAAAAAAAAATATATATATATATATATATATATATGGAGCCTACAGTCTAAGCTTCTGTTGCTCCATCCAAAGACAGAATTGGCCAGGCGCAGTGGCTCACACCTGTAATCCCAGCACTTTGGAAGGCCAAGGCAGGTGGATCGTCTGAGGTCAGGAGTTTGAGACCAGCCTGGCCCAGATGGTGAAACCCCGTATCTACTAAAAATACAAAAGAAAATAAGCTGGGTGGGTGGCACACGCCCGTAGTCTCAGCTACTTGGGAGGCTGAGGCAGGAGAATTGCTTGAACCTGGGAGATGGGGGTTGTGAGATTGCGCCACTGCACTCTAGCCTGGGTGACAGAGCAAGACTCCATCTCAAAAAAAAAAAAGTGTTTAGGGTGTGAGGAAATGTCATGCTTGCTGAAGAGCATTCCAGCTGTCCTGGGCGATTGGCAGAGGCTGATGCCAAACAGAAACAGTCTCTGCTCAAATTTACCTGCCCTCCTGCTTCATGGAGTTGGGACTGGACAGGAGCTGGCAGGGACCTAGTGGTTGGTGTGAGAATTTGTGCCTTAGGCAGTGTGAGCTGGACTTCTCTGGCAAGAGGAGAGACTCCAGCTCCTGAAGTCAAGTGGGAAGGAACTGAGGGGGTGGGGGCATGGAGCCCAGGGTTTTAGACTGGGGGCAGGCTACCATGGTTCGCCACTGCTGAATGCCTGGTACATGCCTGACACCAGGCGCTTTTGCTTGCACTGTCTCGTTTCCCCTTCAGCTCAGCCCTGTGTGGCAGGGGCTGTCAGCACATCCATCTGCGGAGAGGGAAACAAACTCTGGGAGATTCAGACACTGATCGAGGACCACACAGTGGAGGCTGGAGCCTGAGTCACAGCCCACTGTGAAGAGAGGAGCTAGGGGCAGCCTCAGAGGGAGCCGCTGTCTGCAGTCCATCCTTACCACCAGCAAAGCACTCTGTATGGGGGATGGATCAAAGGGCATATTTGTAGCTCCAACCCATAACCTTTCTGCTACAAGAGAGAATGTTTAATACAGAAGAAGTTGGAAAAGGATCCACATACATCGCAGTGTCAATCTTCAGATGCAGATAATAGGAGCAATGGAGTTTGCTTATGCCTCGGCTGGTTATC